GAGTCGGGCGAGCTGTGACGGGGGCGTCTGGTCGACGGCGCCGAGCAGGGCGTAGAACGCGCCGGTCTCTTCGCCGCGGAGACGCTGCTTGTCGATGACGTTCTCGAACAGACTGAGATCGAATCCGAGGTCCGCCAGCAACGCGCGACCGATCGACCCGGCGTGGGGAGACGTGAAGTCGATGGCGGGTTGCTGCGCTTCGACAACGGGCGCCGCACCCGCAATCGGTTGCGCGGTGAGCGTTGTCTCCAGTCGCTTGGCGACAATGATCGGGGTCGAGCCGATGCCCTCTGCCCAGCGGTACGAGAGCTTCTTGAAGAAGACGCCGACGGCGGAGGCGTCGTAGGGTTCGACAACCGGCTTGGGCTCTTCGAGCGTGTAGACGGTGATTGGCCAGACGTCGCCGCCGATGGGTTGGATCGTGACGCGCCAGAGTTGCTCGATGCCGAGATCGTTTTTGGCGGGCTCGGTCGCTTCGACCCGCATGACGCGGCCGGAGACGGTGACGACGCGGCCGCGGTAAGTGTCCGGTTGGCTGTTCAGCGCGACGTAGCCGACGACGCCGGCCGAACGGGCGGCGAGCGCCGCGGGTTCGGCGTCGCGGACGGCGGCGAGCGATGCGAACCACGCCGGCTGTTCGCCGCTGCGGAAGGGGGCGTTGTCACGCACGCCCTCGAAGGCGTCGGCGGGGACCAGCGGCTCGGTTTGGACGGGCTCCGCGGACACTAGGGGCACCGCCTCGCCGAGGGCCCTGCCGAGGGCGGCGTGGGTTTCGGGCTGCTGGAGGCGGGCCATCAGGCCGATGACTAGCAGCAGGCTTCCGAGCGTCGCGGCGAGCCGAAGGCTGGGCCCGCGGCGGCGGCGGGGACCGGCGAAGAGGGGAGGGCGGGAGGTTTTGGGGCTTTGGAACCGCACGGCGGGCGGGGCTGCCAAAAGTTTTTGGGGATTGGGACCGTCCGTAATAGAATACACCACAACGACTTAGGCGTCGCAGGCGAGCGCCCGCGGGGCCTGGGTCGGCCGGACAATTCCCGCGGTGTCACACCTCGAGGCAATAGCGGGCCCGGCGGAAAGCGAAATCTTCACAGGAACTACCACGGCAGTGGGGGGGCAGGAGGCTGCAACCACTCGCCGCGGGCAATCGACCACCAAGAGCTGCGGATGGCTCTCAACCGCTCCGATTTCCAATCGCTCGTCGATGAGCACGGCCCGGCCTTGTATCGGCTGGCGTACCGGCTGATCGGCGATGCGCACGATGCGGAAGAGATCGTCCAAGAAACGTTCCGTAGCGCCTGGACGAGCCGCGACCGGTTCGACAACGCGCGTGGCGAGCGGGCGTGGCTGGCGTCGATCCTTCGTCGCCGCTCCGCCGACCGTTGGCGTCGCGTTGGCAGGACGCTGCCGGCGACGTCGGGCGATCACGTTCTCGACTATTCGATCGAAGACGACGACCCGCTCGAACAAGGCTACACCGATCGGATGCAGGCCGCGCTGGCGAGGTTGCCGGACGAGATGCGCGAGGCGCTGTTGATGGTGATTGTCGGCGAGCTGACGCACCAAGAGACGGCCGACGCGCTGGGCGCGCCGCTGGGAACGATCCTGTCGCGCGTCAGCCGCGGGCGGCAACGTTTGCGCGAGGAGCTGCTGAAGGGGGAAGGGAGCGAGGCGCTCTCACGTTGAGAATGTGACTACGGATGACACGCATACCACGGATTGAGTTTCACGCTGTAGGCGTTCAAGAAATCCGTGCGATCCGTGTAATCCGTGGCCAAGCTGCGATAAACGAAGTGACAGCCGAGCGAATCAACAGCAACGAGATATGAGCTGTGGGGGCAAGAGCCCTCTTGAGAATCATCACCAAAGAACGACACCCGCGTAGGCGGACCCATCGCCCACCAGCCGTCGGAGACGGCGCCAACTTTACCGAGACCCCGAGCGTCGCCATGGCCTTTGATCCCTTCTACTCGTCGAGCCCGTCCGACAGCGGCTTGCTTGACGGGGGCCTGCTCGACGGGGCCAGCGCGCCGTTCGTTGGCGGCAATGCGAAGTCACGTCGCGAACCGAGTAACACCAACGTGCCCAACCGTGACGAGTACGTCGCCCCCACAACGGGGCCCATCGACGCCGAGGCGCCGGAGGATTCGCTCCGCGACGTGCCGCTCCCCGAGGGGTTCATGGCGCGGCTGCGGGGCTTTGTTAACGAACTTTGAGGGTTGCGATCGAACGCGTCTCGGGTCGCCGGTAGTGACCTGAGAAGTGGATGATTGGGCAGCTTGTGCGGCCTGGGAAGGCGAAGCCCTTCAGGACCGCTTGTTATGACCCGGACGGCGGCCCTTCGGTGGTGGCCGGTCTCTTTCTCGGCGTGCACAATAGGGGCGTGAACCTCTTGTCGCTCCGCAACGCCGACCGATCTCGCAACGCCCCGCAACGCCGTCATACCGGCGCGCTTGCGGTTGTGATTCTTGCGGTCGCCCCTCTGGCGACGGCGGCTGCGCCCGCGGACGACGTGTCCACTCGCTTTGTCGAGCAGCTTCGCGCCGAAGGCCATGCCGACCTCGTGCCCGAGTACCTCGAGCGGGCGGCGAACGACCCACTGGTATCGGACGCCTTCAAAAAGCAGATCCCTTACCAGTTGTTGGCGTCGAAGTTGAACGCGGCCGAGGCGCTACGCGACCCGGCGGAACGGGCCGCGGCGCTCGCGGCGATCGAGCCCGAGCTGCGCAAGCAAGCCACTGGCGACGACAACACCAAAAGCCTGTTGACCGATGTCACCGATCGCTTGGCGGTCGCCGCTGCGGACGAGGCGCGTCGCTTGGCGCTGGAGGCGGAGCGTCATCCGGTGGCGAGTGAACGGGCCGATAAACGCAAGGAGGCCCGCGCCGCGCTCGACGGCGCCCGGCAGAAACTCTCGGCGGCGGAGTCGTTGATCTCTGGCGAGCGCGGGCAGCTGAAGGGGTCCCCGACGGGAAGCGATGAGGACGACCGCTGGAAGACGCTGGGCGATCGACTGGCGTTGGTGCGGCTGCTCAATGCGCGCCTGATCCATGAGAAGGCGCAGACGTTCCCCGAGGGAGCGCCCGAACGCAAGCAGCTCAACGAACAGGCGGCGAAGGAACTCGGCGCGCTATACGAGAAGTACTCGAAGTTCATCGTTGGGCTGTACGCCCATCTGTATGAGGGCCGCTGCTACCGGCAGCTCGGCGAGAGGCAGTTGGCGGCGGGCGCGCTGGAGGACCTCACTGCGCAGCCCGCGCCGACGCCCGACCTGCGGAAGGTGGTGACGCTCGCTCACGCCGAGCTGGCGGCGCTGGCCCTGGACAATGGCGACGCGGACAAGGCGCTCGACAAGCCGGCGGAGTGGCTCGAAGGCTTGGCGGCGGATGAGAAGCAGGGCGTCGAAGCCGCGGCGCTGCGTTACCGGCTGGGCCTTGCGGCGCTGGCGAAGGCGGGCGACGACGACAGCGCGGCGGCGAAGAAGCTGCGGCGTGACGCGCGGGACTGGCTCGGCGAATCGGCGCGCGTGCCGAGCGAGGTGCAGGCCGACGCCCGCGCGCAGTGGGTCGCCGTCAGCACGACGCTGGGTCTAGAGAACCCCGACCCGAAGACCTTCGACGAGGCGATTGCCGCGGGGCGTGAAGCGATCCAGACAATGCTCGCGCTGGACCTTTCGTTGAAGGAGGTCGAGGGAGCCGAAGCCGCGCCCCTCCAAGATCAACGCAAGGCAGCGTACGACGGGGCGTACTCGGCGATGACCGCGGCGGTGAAGCTCGCCGACGAGAAGACCGACCCCGCCCAAGCCGCCCAAGCGCGGTACCAACTGGCGTGGCTCGATTGGGACGGCGGCGACGCGGCGAAGGCCGCCAGCCGGGCCGCGCTCGTCGCGCAGCACGACAAGGAGACCGACTCGGGCGAGCAGGCCGCGCGGCTGGCGCTGGCGGCGCTCGAGCGACTCGAGCGTGAGGGGGCGGCCGACGCTTCCGCCCGTTTGCAGAAGATGGCGGAGTTCGTACTGAAGCAATGGCCCAATAGCGAAGTGGCGGAGTCGGCGTCGTCGGTGTTGGTGGCCAGTGCGCTGCGTTCGGGCGACCTGCAAGCCGCCGAGCGGGTGCTGGAGACGGTCCCCGAAACGCAGCGGCGGGNNGGCGATCGTGCGCTGGGAGCAAGCCAAGAGTGACCCCGCCAAGGCGCCGCCCGTGTTGCTGGCGATGCGGCAGGCGTTCGATCAAGCGGTGAAGGACGATGAGCCGACGCAACTAGCGGTGACGGCGGCGCTCTACTTGGCGGATGCGGCGCTCGACGCCGGCGACATCACTCAGGCGGAGACCCTGCTCAACCACCAAGGCTACGGGCCGGTCGCACGGCTTAACAAGAACGAGGCGCCCGCCGATAGCCCGCCGTTCGCTTTGGCGACGCTCAAGTCGGCGATCCGCGTCGCTTCGCTGACCGGCGATGACGCGGCGCCGCTGGTCGAGAAGTACGCCACGACCCTCGCCGACGCGCCGGCGGAGACGACGGGCGGCGACCGATCGTGGCTCGGTCTAGCGGTGGGGTTGCTCGGCGACATCGAGTCGGCCGACAACACGTCGATCAAGGCGCAGGTTGCGGCGACCTTGGCGGCGGTGCTCGAGCGTCTCGACGCGGTCGAGGCGTCGGGCGATTGGAACACGCGCCTGTGGATTGCCCAGGCGCGGCTGCGTGTGGGTGAGTTGCTTGCCGATGAAGCAGCGGCGGAAGCAAGTGTCGCCGCGGGGCGTGACGCGCTCGCCGGGTTGATCGAGCAAGCCGAGCAGCAGCCGGGCTACGCGCCGTCGCCGACGTCGGTGCTCGCGGCGCGGCTGAAGCTCGCCGAATGCCAGCGCACGTTGGGCGATTACGCCAACGCGGTCGATACGCTGACGGCGATGATCGACGGCGGCCCGGTGCTGCTCGACGTGCAACGCGTCGCGGCGGAGACGCTGCAGGCGTGGGGCGAAGCGACCAAGGACGCCAAGCGGCTCGAAGAGTCGATCGCCGGCGCGCGACCGGGCGCCGATGGCAAGAACCTCATCTGGGGTTGGAGCAAGCTGGCCGCGGTCACCGGTCGTTACGTCGCCAGCGATCCGGGCAAGCGCGAGGTCTACTTCGACGCGTGGCGCCGCGTCGCGGAGGCCCGTTACCAAGCAGCGATGCTCGCCAGTGGCGCGGAGCGCACCGAGCAACTCCGCAAGGCGGCGAGCACCCTCATCGCTGTCGAGCGCAAGAACCCGGAACTCGGCGGGCCCGAGAGTAAGCGGGCGTACGACGAACTGCTCNNGGCGGTTCGAAGAGCGGCAAGATCACCGCGGCGACGCGCGACGGCGTGACCGTCGATACGGTTGACGGCGCGGTCAGCGTGCCGGTGGGCGACCTCCGCTTCGTAATCCTGGAAGAAGAGCCGACGCTGCTCACGCAAGCGCGGATCAATTTCGGCAACGGCGGGTACGAGACCGCCGAGGAGATGCTCAGCGGATTGCGGGAGACCGGCGGCGCCCCAAAGCTCGTGAAGCAAGAGATCGCTTACTACAAAGCGGCCTGTGCGGCGCGTCTGGCCCTCGGCGGCAGTGGCGACGCGCAGGAAGCGGGGCGGCAGCTGACGGCGTATGTCCGTGACAACGGCGACAGCCTGCACTACTACGAGGCGGTTGAGACGCTCGGCGACCTGCTGGTCTCGCTGGGTCGATACGAACAAGCCGAACGCACCTACGGGCAGATCGCCAAGGCGCCGGGCATCGCGATGAAGGCGCGGGCGGCGCTACTCGTGGGGCGGATGCACCAGCGCCAGGGCGAGCACGACGACGCGCTGAAGCGGTTCGATGCGTTGATTGCCGCCACGTCGAACGATCCGGGAGTCGCCGAGGCGCAGCGGCTGGCGAAGCTGGCGAAGGCCGAGAGCTTGGCGGCGACCGGAGACCTGACCGCGGGACTCGAGATCGCCCGCGAAGTGATCCGTTCGGCGGACGAGCGCGAGGCTGCGACCTTGGCGGCGGGTTACAACGCTCTGGGACGCTGCTACGAAGCGGCGGGCGAGAGCAAGGACGCGTTGTTCGCCTACCTGCACACCGATCTGCTCTTCAACACCGACCCGCTGACACACGCCGAGGCCCTGGCTCACCTGGGGCCGCTCTGGCGGGAGGCGGGGAAGCCTGACGCGGCGCGCGACGCACTCGACCGGTTGCGCCGGCAGTACGCGGCGACGCCGCAGGCCCGTTCGGCCGAGGTGAGGTAAGTTGAGTCTGGGGCTAGTTTCTAGCGGGTTTTCGTTCGTTTTTGGCCACCGGATTCGATATAATGTTCATTCGCACAGTGGGTGTTAGCCAGTGGTTAGAGGCAATGAACCGGGGCAAGCGAATCGATGATTGGGCCCCGTGGCTGATACCCGTTAGCAACCCGATCAGCCGGCACGCGTTAGCGTCCGGTTCTTACACTCGATACACGATCAAGTAACTCAATCTGGACAAGGCCCCCGGCGGCGGCGTCCAATGCCCCGCGTCGTCAGACGCAGCGATCCCTTCCTTCACAGACTTCGACGGTAAACGCGGAGAGACGATGCAACGAAGCACGTTAACGCTCGGGACCCTGCTGCTCGCCCTGGTGGCGGTGTTCGTGACGGCTCCGCAAGGGGCGTGGGCCCAGGACGAGGGGGACGCCGCCGAGGCGCCAGCCGCGGCCGCGGTTGAACCAGCGCCGGTTGAAGGCGCGGCTACGGCGCCCGTTGAACGGACTAGCTACCTTGGTTGGGCGTACAAATCGCTCGGCCTGGGGTACAGCATCGTCTTCTTGGCGTTGTCGTTCACGCTGGTGTCGTTGTTGGTGATGAACCTGATCAAGGCGACGCGGGCCAGCATCGCTCCGCCGGACCTCGTGGAGGCGTTCGAGGCGCACCTGAACGCCAAGCAGTTCAGCGAGGCCTACGAGCTGGCGAACGCCGACGACTCGTTCCTCGGCAAGGTGCTCGCCGCGGGGCTCGGCAGGTTATCGAACGGCGGGGATTACCCCCGCGCGATCGAAGCGATGCAGGAGGTCGGCGAGGAAGAGAACATGAAGCTCGACCACCGCCTCAGCTACATGGCCCTGATCGGCACGATCGCCCCGATGATCGGCCTGTTGGGGACGGTGCAGGGCATGATCGCGTCGTTCGACGTGATCGCCACCTCGCCGACGACCCCCAAGCCGAGCGAATTGGCCGAGGGCATCGCGACGGCGCTGTTCACGACGCTGGTGGGCCTGGTGATCGCGATCCCGGCGATCGCCGCTTACAACATCCTGCGGAACCGCGTCGCGGAGCTGGTGCTCCAGGCGGGGATCGTCAGCGAGGGGTTGATGAGCCGGTTTGAGAAGTCGCGCTGAGGCTGATACGAGAAGTCAACGTGGACCCAGGAAGAAAGGGAGAACCACGAAGGAACAAAGGACCGATCTCCAAGTCGGGGCCGATTCGGCGGAAAGCCTTCGTTCCTTTGTGGTTCATAATCTCTTCGACAGCCAAAGCCTACCGGCCGGATTCGGAATCGTCAGCGGAGCATCATGCGACTCACTAAACGCCATCGATCGGAAGTCACCGAGTCGGACATGACGCCGATGATCGACATGACGTTTCAGCTGATCGCGTTCTTGATGGTGATGATCAACTTCTCCGACATCGAGCAGGACCAGCGCGTCCAGCTGCCGTCGAGCGAGTTGGCGAAGCCGCCAGAGACGGCTTACGACGAGCCGCTGACGGTTCAGATGACGGCCGACGAGACGATCCTCTTTGGCGGGCAGGAAATGGGGATCGAAGACTTGAGGTCGGCGATCCGCCGCGAGGCGACGCTGCTGAAGGCTTACAAGGACAACCGGCTCGACGAGGCGATGGTCGTGATCCGCGCCGACCTCCGCAGCCGCACCGGCAGCGTTCAGGAGATCATCGAGGCGTGCCAAGAAGCGGGCTTCGATACTTTCGCGCTGCGGGGCAAGCAGAGCGACGAATCGACACTGAACTCCGAATGAATTGGAACCACAGATAAACACAGATGGACGGGGATGAGGTTCTCTTTCAGGATTTCTCAAGGACATACACGTTTCCTCAACTTCTTCATCTGTGTTGATCCGTGTTCATCTGTGGTTTCCTACTAAGCATAGAAGCCGATGAAGATTCGCCATTCAGAGATGCACTCGGGCAAGGTCGAAGTCCCGATGACGCCGATGATCGACATCGTGTTTCAGTTGTTGGTGTTCTTCATCATGTCGTTCAAGATCGTGCAGCCGGAGGGGGACTTCAACATCCGGATGCCGCTGCCGGCGAGNNCGCCGAGCGAGCTGCCGGTGTTCAACCTGCGGATGGCGGCGGCGGCGAGCGGCGACCTCGAGCAGCTGTCGATGGACAGCCGCGTCTTCGAGGGCGAAGACCGCTTCGCGAAGCTGCACAGCTACATCCGCGGCATGATCGACGACGCGGGCGGCCCGGGCACGGCGGAGGACCAGGAGGTCGAGATCAACGCCGACTTCGATTTGCGGTACGACTACGTGATGCGGGCGATCACGGCGCTCTCTGGCTACATCGAGAACGGCCAGCGGCACCAGTTGATTGAGAAGATTCGGCTGACGCCGCCGAAGGAAGGGAGTTAACCGCCAAGACGCCAAGAGCGCCAGGGATCGCCAAGGAGAAGCGATTGATCAATGGCCTGTAGGGCCATCGGATGATAGCCCAGGGCAACGCCCTGGGTGTTTGGCGGGAGAGGCGATCGTTAGCCCTTTGGTGGCGTTGGAATCGTCGGCCGGGTGGTTGGGCAAAATTCGTGAGCGATGGTTAATCCCCAGGGCGTTGCCCTGGGCTTTCATCCGCAAGCCCTACAGGCTTAAAAATGGCGGCCTGATCGTTGACTCGTGGGCTCAAGAGAGTAGTCTGCGTGGGTCTTCACCAGCGATCAGAACAGCCTTCGATCTAGCGTTCTTACCATGAGAAGCGGCCTCTTTGCACTAGCGATGGCTTTGTTGAGTGGCGTGTCGTCGGCGTCGTCGATCACGAACCTCACATCTTGGACGTTGATACAGGACCCACCACACCCTCGGATGTCAGTCCAAGGCCTAACGGCGACAGAAGCTCGGCTGCTAGCGGTTGGCGAGGTTCCCTCAGGGACCGATATCGGGTTCGTGTCGGTAAATGGCGATACAGTCGCCACGTCGACCGCAGGCAATTTTTTCGACCCTGCAACGGATTTTTCACTAGCTATCGACTTTGAGCTTCGGTTGTCCTTGAATGTTTCGGGCGTGTCGGCCATCGGTTTTGGTATCGGAATCGACGCCTCTGGCGCTAACTCGGCTGGCGTGGCATTGGCAAGCCTAGGGGAAGGCCCGCTTTTTTTCACCGCAGTTGGCAGGCTGGCCGACGCCGATATTTCACCGAAGTTGTTTAGCACGGCCCCATTGACCACATCGTCGATCGACAAGCAGACGCAAGGCCGACTCTTTATCGACTATGGTGCGTCTTCACGGGATGTCACTGTAGGTGTGAGCCGTTCCGGAGGCGCCTCTGCACCTTCTGAGACTAGAACTTTCCCTGGACTCGCGGAGTCTTGGGGTGACTCTCCTATTCTCACTTCCTTCTTCTTGCGGAGTGATAACGCTGTATTTCCATTCCCTGGTCTTACAGCGGGTAGCGTTGGCGCCTACTTCAGCAACTTCGAAATCCTGAGGGGGTCACCTATCACCATCCCCGAGCCCGCCACCGGCCTCCTGGCGATCCTTGGCGCTCTTGGCGTCTTGGCGG